GTGGGATTCGAAACCAGGATTCTGGTATTTGAGCGAGCGAAGACGGTTCATACCTTAAACCGTGCGGCCACTGTGATCGGCTGCACCCAGTCTATAAATCTTAAAGTAAAACGTAGGCCCTACAAGCCTGTAACGGCGGCTGTCGTTATGAAAACCTGGCCTCACTTCAGGATGGCAAATATTTGTGCAATTGTCAAGAGAAACATAACAAGAAAACTGAGACAATTTCTTATTTACAGGGCGACCAGATCAAGATGAATGCGAACGCACAGAGAACAGAACTAATCTCATGGAAATGGACTTTGAGGATGGGAGTGGATGAAATGCACCCAGAATGACGTCAAAAGACGGATTTTGTTAATAGTAGAGCTAAACCTTTCAGGATCCTTGGAACTATCAGCTGAGTCGACACTAAGCAGCTGACCTTGTGACAAAGGCCATTAAGACATCACACTAGTATTCTAGCGTCATTTTTATTTATTAATTTATATACTTATTTATTTATTCACATTGCTAAATCCTGTCTTAGGAGAATTGTCCATATTTTGACAACCTTTCTCTATAAAGTCAATTTGAAGATTGTCGTACCGTCTTCGAGAATGTCTCAAATTGAGGTCTTCTACAAATGACTGCATATATTTCTTATTTCCCCCCACCTAATCCTATTTCTATCAGTTGTTAAAACAAATAAAATAAACACCGTCTATCTTGAGGCGAGCTTCCGGGTTAAGCAACATAGAATGTGGTCCGTTGTGGAACGGGTGACCGAGGAATTAGCTGATTGGTGCCCCTCTCCTCTTATCACGCGAGGAGATTCCTTTCGAATTTACGGACTACTACAAATTAAGACCCAACGAGGTGTCAAATCCGGGCAGCGGGCTGAAGGTCGCGTGACGCAGGTGTCCCCTCATGTATGCACTTGTGACTGTTCTGCCGGGTGTGAAGATGACGAGCTGATAAGCCTCTCATTAAAAAGGGATCCAAGCATTAACCATTTAAACGATAACACACACGCAACAGTCGGTCACACCAGCTCACGTGATAATCAGAGAATGAAGGGCATGACATTAAGTAGCATGTGAGTTGACTTTCGGTTGACAGGCTCAAAACGCTAAAGCAAGGAAAAGAAGTGCGGACGTACCAAGTCCTCACTTTACAGCTTATTTCTTAACGTCTCCTGCTTCAAAGTCTAGAAATTACAATTTAAGTTGTTCTGCTATGGTCCCTAACGTTGCGAGAAGACAAGTTTCTAGCTGAGGAAAGCAGTCTTCTGGGATTTGGCACCGTGTATATGTGGTGTTAACCGACATTTCGGAGGAACGTATCGCCTCCATCTTCAGGGTAGAAGAAAAAATA